ATTTCCATGGTCGAATAACTTGTTCTGTTTCCGAATGTTTCAAAAAACAAACAAAATACTTTAAATGTTATATTTTAGTGTACATGCAATGCACCTCAATTTCCGAAGCATCCAGGAACGATTGGCCCTCCACAGATGGAGTTACCTCAGCAGAAATCTGACACCAATCCCAAATATTTCAAAATAAAACAAAAATTAGTTAATTTTAAGTAAGAATTATTTGAAAATACCTGGGTTTTCATTCTCCATCTCCTCCCTTTGTGTTTGGGTTAGAATTCTTCTGGAACCCGCTACTTGCTCCGGTGTTCTCCATGGCAAAGAGATGTGTGGTAGTTCTTGAAGGTATCCGAAGACGGTAAGCAATGTAGAACGAAGAGCAGAAGAGTTTCGATTGATGAAGGCGTATCGTTTCCGAAGACTGGTCGGGGGATTAAGGAGGGGTTGGGGCTTCAAACGACGCCGTTTGGCCTTTCTAAAAATCATCGTGACGCTTCGAAGGCAACCTAACGGCTGGTCGTTAATTTTAATATTTCCGTTTAATTTTTGAAGTAACGGTAATAAACAGTGACGTTTTGTTTCTTCGTTGGAAGGGCCTTTCTGTCATTTCCTCTCATTTTACGCAAGTAGAGCGGACGCGCCTCACGCGAATCTTTGTTAGATATAGGAGGGCATTCTCATAAATTCCAACCTTTTTCTTCCCTTTTCCATAGATTTTTGGAAAAGCACTACATACTCGTGAGAGCCTGAGAGTGTGAGATAGTGATTGAGAGATGGCAGGAAGGAGCGTAGCGAAGAAGAAAGGATGTTTAGGAGAGCTAGGGTTCAACAAGGGGGGCGGCGCCGTCAATTGGTTCCCTGGCCACATGGCCGCCGCCACCAGGGCCATCCGCCAGCGCCTCAAGCTTTCCGACCTCGTCATTGAAGTTCGCGATGCCCGCGTATGTCCAGCAATCCCTTCCGAACCTTCTTCATTTTTATTTCCCTTCGAATTTTCAATTTGCATTTTTCGGATCAATATGTGTAGAAAAACTTGTGCAGATACCTTCTTCGTCTGTAAACGAAGACTTGCAACCCATCCTTTCCGGGAAAAGGAGAGTTATTGCTCTCAACAAGAAAGATTTGGCCAACACCAACATCATTCATGTAATCTTTCTAATATCCTCTCGTACTTTGATGGAGAACATATATATTGTTCCAATTTTATTGGATGTCCCCAAAGGGTCATGGAGTACATATATACAATACTATTTAAATGTTTCTTCTCTATTTAGTACAGTATGTGAGTCCTGAACTCTAATAAATTTGAATCTCTTTTTTTTGAGTATTTTCCCTCTGGCATGTCATGACTTCAAATTGTAAGGACCCCATATGGTAGCTTAATCTCCTGTTATCAAGTTTTTTTTTTAAATTTGGAAATGGAGGGGGAGAGCCCAAGGAGGGGTAACAACTTTCCACAGAGCCTTAACCAATTCACTGTGATCTTGTTGTGAATCAACTTGTCCATCTTGTCAGTGTCTTCATGTTATGTACCAATCCTACTGACGTTCGTTTGTGCATTAAGTTTACTGCTATTGCTGGTCAGTGGTATACTTTGATCATTTTATTTTGCCTTGTACATAACAGCAAAGGTTCAAATTGCACATCTTGATATCATTTCTGCGAGTCATGCAGTAGATTACAACAGCTTTATAGTAGGACTTTGATTTAAGCAACACTAATATTGATTATCCCGTGAACATGGTTGTTCCACATAGCTGAGGCAATATCTATGGTTTTTAATGATTTGCATTCGTTGCTAACTTTACGACCGACTTGGTTGCAATCAGAAATGGGTGAACTACTTCAATTCCTGTAAACAAGAGTGCCTTCCCATTAATGCACACAGTAGAAGTTCTGTACAAAAGGTTAGTCAATCTTCTGCGTGTGCCTTTCTGATTTCTATAGTAGATTATCATGTACACTTCCATCTTTCTAAGATAAGATCTTACTTAGACCAATAATAACCATTCATGTATTGAAGCTGCTGGATCTTGTGGAGTTTAAATTGAAAGAGGTGATTTCAAGAGAGCCTACTCTTCTTGTCATGGTAGTTGGGGTACCCAATGTTGGTAAATCAGCATTAATCAATTCCATCCATCAAATTGCATCATCACGTTTTCCAGGTTAGATATTTTATTATTTTTTTCGTTTTTGATGTCTTTTTTTCTCAACGTGTAATATAATCATGGAAAGTAAATGTAATATTCATGCATTATCCACATTTTCTAGCAATGGTGGTTTTGAAATATGTCTTAGTGCAGGGGAAGAAGAAGAGAGCCACCGTGGGGCCATTGCCTGGTGTGACTCAAGATATTGCTGGATACAAGGTCAAATGTTAAATAATTTAGTATCCGTACATTTCCATTCATTTCCACTCACAGATGTTAACAAGTTATTTAGTCTGATTTATTTTTCAAGTCTATTTCTGAAGGGATTTTCTTCCGTTACAAGATTTCTCAAGATCACATCTAGTGATAATTTCTGTGGCTCTATATATAACCATTCTTTCTTGGAATCTGAATATGGACCACATTAAACATTGGAAAAATCCTAATGTATTTGTTCGTTATGATTTGATTGTATGCAGATTGCACATCGACCTAGCATATATGTTTTGGACAGTCCAGGAGTGTTGGTACCAAGCATTCCAGATATAGAGACAGGGTTAAAACTAGCACTCACAGGTCATGCCTCTTTTTGAGTTGCACTATTATTTGTATTTGTTTTTTATTGTTTGATGAAGTTTTAGAACATCTGGCTTCATAATATGATTCTTCCCATTTCCTGGAAATGTTGTGATATGATGATGTGGTGAGGTAGTTGTTATAGCCAATATTAGCCATATCCCATTGCAAAACTGCATCTTAAAAACCAAAAGCTACCCCGTAGTCTGTTCCAGATATTTGCTTAGTATGCAAGAATAAAAAGGAACTGTATTTTATCACGAGTTTTTTGAAAAATCATTGTTCAGGGTCTGTAAAAGATTCTGTGGTTGGCGAAGAGCGAATCACTCAATACCTTTTGGCAGTTTTGAACACTAGAGGGACTCCTCTTCATTGGAAGCACCTTGTGAACCCAGAAGCTAAGGATCTTCATCAGGATGCCGATAACAAATCAGAATACAATCTGAAGGATCATCTTCTGAGGATGAAGAAGCCTCTATTAGATAAATCAAATGTGCAATACATTGAGGTAAGGGAAAGTAATTTGGTACTTTCCTTGACTAATTCACTGTGAAAACTTTAACTCGCTCAATTTGGTACTTTAGTAATTCTGAGTGTTAACTTTCCCTGGGACAAGAAAAAAGAAAGGGAAAACCAAAGTACCGATCATGAGGATGATTTCTTTCTTACATTTTGATTTAGTATGTATGTATAATACACACATTCATGCACACACACACACAAAATTCATTTTAGATGACTGGGTGCTAGTCTTTCACACACCCCAACCCAAAGAATAAAATCAAATTGAAGATTCAAGTTATGCATGGCTTGGAGGGTGGATGAACATCCCTTCTGTATACTTTGCAGGATATGGTCACTGCAGTTAAGCGGGGTCTTTGTGTCACTCTCTCAGAGTTTGATGGCGATTTAGAAGATGAAAACGAGTTGGAGGTTCTGATAGACAAACAATTTGAAGCTCTACAGGTGGCATTCAGAATACCTCACAAGGCATCAGAAGCTCGATTAATGGTATCCAAGAAATTCCTCGCTTTGTTTAGGACAGGCAAACTGGGTACCTTCATCCTTGATGAGCTGCCTCTTGTCCCACATTCTGTCCCTTAAAACCGATCTCTGGGGGAAGGGAAAGTGACATGCAAAACGTTAAAGTGTTCTTTCAATATGCAATTTCTTCAAGTGGTGCAAGCCCCATCTAGCCAAGTTTGTGTCCTACTCTTAGTAGGCAACATATCTTTACAAAGAAGCCAGAAAAGTACTCTTGATGTTGATTTTGGATCACAGGAAAAATGAGAAGTATAGAATGAGGCGAATGTGATCGTATGTGTAACTGGTTTCGAACATAATTTTTTTTAATTGCAATGACTTCGGACATGCATGACTTTGTACATATATATAACGAATATCGGACAGTTTGGTGTTATAATTAATAAGGGCTTTAAGTTTCTATTCGTTTTGATAAATACAACTCGTAATGTCGCTATGTACGTAAATACTCTGTACTTAGTTACTCCATATTTAATTAACACTTTAATTATATCATCTCCCCCCAAAGCTAGTATAGCTTAGGGAATGAACATTGCAACAATATCATCACATTGGGATTGTTCCTATCCATTGAAGCAATAACAATGAGGCTTTCATTGTGTGATTCTTATCCCAATTGTTCGGTACCCGAGCTGAGCGATAATTGCTGGAAGCTTATACTCGCAACCGTGGAAACAGATGAAACCTATGGAGTCCCTCCCCCGGAAAAACCTTCCCCCGAGTGTTGTTTCAAGCTCATCAGAGTCTGGTGCGGCGACTGCTATCGGTCTTGGTTAAGTCGCGAGAATCCCGGCCTTGACACACAGTTCTTGGACAACACCGTGGAGGTGTGGAATTGTTGTCAAGATTTTACAGTGTTCTAAGCATGCACGGAGTACATTATTATTGTTTAGTTTTGTTAAAATAATGGCAGAATAATATTTGTGTATTACTATAAAGTTCATCCCTTCTTTGCATAGGATAATAGGTAGGAGAGAAATATTAAAGGTAAAGCCCCAAACCCCAAAGCACTAAAAACTCAATGTTTCCAAAACAAATATAGAATTTCACATTTTTTTCAACTCTCTTTAAAAACCACAAAGAGTCCAAACGAGAACATTTTAGACGGACGGAGGGAGCAGATTAATAGCTACCGTACATAAACATCAACCAAATTCTGAATATTAACCATCTTGGAAATGCGTGAGGGGAATACGATATCATAGCATAAATTCTTGGTATAAATGTGACAAAGATTTACAAACTTTATGAGGACACTAAAATGGCCAAAATCCCAAAAGTGCAAACTGTCAAGGGTTAACAATAATGTAGGTGCAATGTCTCATTGTTCCTAAACTCTTATTTAAAAAATGGAGCAAACCTCTCAAATTTGCCTAAACAGATAAGAGAGGGCTGGGATGGATACCTGAGAACTTTCAGTGCATCTTATTTGGCTATACAAAGTTCTCTTGATTATGAGATCAACGCAACCAAAGCAACACAAATACCAATGAATGAATATAGATTGCCATCTAGTGCGAAACGGTTAGTTGTTCCTCCAAAAAGCGTAGGCCAACCTGCGCAACCCCTTCAGAACAAAAATGGCAAATTAAGACCCGTAACAGATCTCGCAGGGTGATCAGCACTTGAAACCATGGCAGACAAACAAGACAATAATGAGAATCAATGCTGCAATGATGCCCAGCACAATCAGTTTTATCTTAATGTTTTCAAACCACAACTTCCTCTTCACTGCAGTCCCTTGTTTTCTGAAATCCTGTGCCTGAAATTTGAAAATCATGGACATGCCAAAATGGGTTATACTAGTTGGTGATTTTGGTGTTGAAATAGGGCAGCCCGGAGCACATCAGAGTAAGTGTTAATATATTTGGGTGTTGGCATAAACCTATTACGGAGTACTGAATTAATTAACTCTCCAACCGAGAAGCCCATTTCATAATCCCAGCGTATTATCTACAACAACAACAACCCAGTAGAATCCCGCGTAAGTAGAATTTGGAGAGGGTATGATGGGTCAGGTTGTTGCTATCTCTTTTTCAAGTAGAGCACAAATACGGATTCACTTTGTGGGTGACCTCAGGTCTCAGCCAAACCGAAATAGACAAAAATAGTCCTACCAGTGAGGATCTAACCCCAACGGTATGATGTAGGTACATCTTACCTAGCCTTTTTGTCCCAAGTATCATTGTCCATCTTTGGTTTTTTTGTTTACTGTTTGAGGGGTTGTTGGGACTTAAGAAAGGGTATATATAACAGAAAATCAACAACAAAAGAACCTTACCCCTACCTGAAAAGGTAGAGAGGTTGAAGGTGTTAGACAGTGCTTGGCATTTCTTTAAAAATAGGTTTTAAACGTAGAATCCAAAAGCACCTTGAACCTGTTTCTGGCTCTCTATGCCAGAAGCTAAAATCAATAACCAAAATCAATGCCAAAGATTGCACAAAAATGCTTCTACTAAATGCAGAAACGGAGCCAGGAAATGAACTGTCATACGCCCTCATCGTATAAAAAAGATTAAATTTACATTTACACTGCCAAAGCGCCAATAACATTCAGTTTAAGAAAGGTACACAAAGAAATCTTCATACCTCATTAAGTTTTATGTGTAACGACTTTGGTCATGTATTTGTTTCCACACATGTAATCAATATGGGACAGTTAGGTGGTAATATTTAATAAAAGCTTTATTTTCCTGTTTAGTTTAATAAATGCCACTTGTAACGTCCCTTCGTACTTGTTCAATTAGCACAATATGTCTTCCACCCCAAAGCTAGCTAAGGAAATGAAAAGGGAAACAAGAATGAGCAACAATATCATCTACATCTCATTGGGATTGTTCTTATCCATGGGAGCAATAACAATGAGGCCTTCATTGTGTGATTATACCGAAAGCGCGCCGGCTTGTTCAAAACCAGAGCCTAGCGATGAATGTTGGAAGCTTATTATAGCAACGGTTGAAGCAGATGGGAAGGATGGGCGGGTTCCTCCCCCGGCAAGCCCTTCCCCTGATTGTTGTTCTGAGGTTAGAGACTTGGGGTACGAGTGCTATTGGTGGTGGGTAAATCGCGAGAACGAAAAAATATATGCTGGTTATGACCCTGACGTAGTCTACTTGAATGCCATGGACACGTGGAATTATTGTCAGGCCTCCTCCTCGAAATACATGGCTTGGAAGCCATAATAGATACTCCCTCCGTCCCAAAAAACATCATAGTTACTATATCTAGACAAACGATAATCATCTGTGAACAACACAAATGATTATTGTTTATGTAGAGATAAAATCATCCGTATTGTCATCTATGGAGGCATGGGTGGTGGGTTCCTATCATTATCCTAGTTACTATTCACATAGTCAAATTTTATCATCTTTATTTGCCTATTTTTGTTACAATTGTAAACAAACTCATTATCACCCCTCGTCGTATAGCAAAAGATTGAACCTACATTTGTATTTATAATAGCATTCAATTAAATGGGTTGACTAACCTGTGAGCGAAGATTCTCTGTTTTATCAACAAGAAGCTCAATCTTCTCACCACGGTCAAGAACCTAATCAAGGATGACGTCAACGTGAACATATTCAGGCATAATCCCAGACAAAGTTTTTTGTTAGAGACAAAGAACTAACAAATGTTCCTCACCTTCTCAATGTTTCCCATCATGACACCCTTTACTTCATCGACCTGACCCTGAACCTTGGTGAGCTTGCTAATTTCTTCTGGGTGGTCAATAAAATACCTCATGTGTTCTTTCAGTTTTGGCCTATATATATATATATGATGGAGAATGCATGCGTAAAGAAAATGTTACAATTACAGGAATCCCTAGCTAGCTATTGCACAATAGTGGAAGGATGAATGTTACCCAAATGCCTTAGTAAGACTTTTTGCAATAGCGGTATCTGCCTTCCCTTTACCATATCTCTTGATAAAATCCTCCTTCACACGCTGCAAGAAGGCGGTTGGAAGTTGTGATCCAGCAGATTCAGTTGCAACAACGCAGTAGGCTGCAGGTTGATGCTAATAAACATCAAAATGGAGAAGAAGAAGAAAAAAAATTCATGTTCACGACAACATATTACAGCATCTTCTTAACCAAGCTCAAAATGGGAATTGGGGAAATATGAAGAGAAGAGCTGAAGTTGGTTTCAATTTCAAATCAATGAGCTGAACCCATGCAAAGTGTATTTGTGCTATGCATTATGCAATGCACCAGACAGACAGAAAATGTAACCTACAGCCAGCCCTGCAACCCACGTATCTAGCGTCACAGATCTCTCAACTGAGCTTTTAAAAAACAATAATGCTACTTATACGTCACTTTTGTACACTATTTTGATGGCTCGCACTTGCCTAAAATGTCAATGCGTTCGCAACATTTTGCATTGACATTTTGTGCTAGTGTGAAACATCAAAACACTGGTGCAAAATTGTGTTGTACCACATATACACCTAGCATGGTCCTTAAAAAACAATAAGGCTCTGCTTGATACAGGAAATTCAAAACATGGAATTAGAAATTTCAAGTGCGAACGAAAAAAAACAAACAGATCTCGTCAAAATCAAATCATGGAAATTAAATGAATGAATTAATGATGGATCGTCGAATTGTAAAACGAGATGGATCAGAAGAAGAAGACTGACTGAACCCGTTCTGGGCGAGGTAATTGAAAGTGTAGCCATCGCAATTGTAGGTGAATTTGTTGTCGGAGGTGGGGAGCTTGTGGAGGCACTGGGCGGCGACGTCGGTGAAATTGCCGGAGAACTCGGTGTAGTCGGCGAGGATGACGGTCCCTCGGGACACAAAGCTGTAGATCAGCGCCTCTTGGGCCATGATCGATGGCTCTGTGACGGATGGATTTTCAGAAGAATCTCGATCGATATGGAGAATTGTACGTTGATGTGGAGGAGAAGGAACTAAGGTAAGGAAGAAGAGAGGTAGCAGACGATGATGAGTGGATTGGAGAAAAATGTGGCAGCTCTACATCAATTCCTCTCTAACAGCATCATCTCCCATGCCATGCAATGAGGAAGTTCAAAAAACTCTTTTTCAAAGGAAGTTCAAAATGCAAGGAGTAATTTCCTTTGGGTAAATGGGACATAAATATATACAAATATCACTTTTCTCTAAATAAGATCGGTCTCATTTATTCTAACGTTTGACAATGAAAATTTCTAAATTGTTTTTCCTTTGAAAAGAATCACTTATTACATAGTTCATGATCTATTGAAATAATCGGTCATTATCCAACACTTATTGCTAATGATCATATTCGTAGAGTCATTCGTATAATCAATCATTATCCAACACTTGTTGATAATGAAGACAAATATGACAGATCATACGAAAATATGTGCCATAAAGAGAATAAAACATGTTTAGTCCTATTCATAAAAACATAATAACTTTTAGTCTTATTTGGAGTAAATTTTTCATTTCGTTTAGCAACCCAACAATTTTGAATGTTACATTCGCAAGGACTCGTCTACAATCAAAATCTAAACATTTTTATAAAATATACATTTTATTTATGTGTAACTTTTTACTCTCTCCGTCTATAAATATCTTCTCGCTCACTATTTATAAAATCATATTTTATACATATTCTTTGTCTATCTTCATCGCCTATTTGATCGATAAAATAGTACGTAGTATATTTTTGTAGATTTTTTTTAATGTAGTGTGTGTGTGTTACTTTATAATTTCACATCAACTTTCATAAAAATTACCTTCAATAAAACATCATAACGCGCAACGGAAAGAAAATTTTTTGGACGGAGAGAGTAAAATTTAATTTTCTAATAATATATAAGGTATGTTTTATTTGAATGTTTTTAAAACTTTTACATAAAATAGTTTTAATAAGAGACAAAATAGTACTACATGATAAAAATAATTAAACTGTGTTATACGGAGTTCAAAATAACAAATAAAATAGCCATATACTCTATTCATTTTGAATTATCACATTTGTATAGTGTGATCAAAGTATTGTAATGGAGAGATTATGAAAAGTCAAAATAAAAAAAATTAAGTTTCAACTTATAAACATTCAAAACTTACTAGTAACCTATTAACTTTACTTATGTGTGGATGCATGTCATTATGGTTTATCAGAGAAATAAAATGACACACGGTGACATGAAAAGTTTCAATCAATAAAAAACAGTCCAATCAGCGTATGGCATGAGAGTGGAGTGATATGTCATGCAGTGGCAAGTCATTATTTTTATCAATTTTACTTTTTTTACACATTTTAATTATTTAAATTTATTTTATTTATATTTTTTTGAAATAAAAAAATAAAAATGTTTCAAAATTATTTGAATTATTTAAATTTATTTTGTTATATTTTTATAAACTATTCTCTTTTAAAAAAATATTTCTTATTTAAAAAAATAAACTCAAAAAATAAAAAAATTTAGGTTTTTTTTCAAATTTTACATTTTTTACATATTTCTAAAAGGCGAAGAATTTTTTTTTGGAAATTGGACCGCCGAAGGGGTTTCTTTATAGGGCCGGCAATAGGAGGAGAGTGGGGTGGGGTGGGGGGGGGCGGAGCTAGGAACTAGAGAGCGGGGGCACAATACGGGAGTCCAGGGGGCAGCGCCCCCAAGTTCTTTTTTTTAAAAAAATGAAATTACACAAATGATACTCGATAAATTTTATATCAAATATACATTCAAGTATTTTACAAAAATAACATTTGTATAATTCAAAACATAACAATAAAATGATGTTATTATTATTTTTTATACGAATTTTAATTTCTTTTTCCAAAATAAACACAAAAAATATTAATGAATACAACCCAAAGTGATTGATAATTTAATTAATCACAATAATCCTCCAGGATTAGTATTAAAAAAATCTTCTAGCATAGAAAAAACAAAATTGCAAATAAAAGATTACCCAATGAATATATAAAAATCAACAAAACATTACCGACTAACATTAAACTATTAAAAGATTTAAGTGTTTTAAACATAAAAAACACCTTGGTTGGTAGGGGAAAGACACAAAAATTGAGACCCGAAGGATTGATGTGCTATAAATTGGATTAAAAGGAGTTTAATTTTTTAAAAATCCCTAGTAAAAAGGACTTGCGGCACTACCCTTTCGTTTTAGTTCTCCATAGATTGTTTTATTTTTGTTTTAAACGACGCCGTTTTAAGTTTCAAAAGAATGTTACGTAAGACTGAAAAGACTGATCCAGAAGCTAGAGAAAGGCCAGATCCATCATCCATCCCGGGGTGCACGTGCCCTGCCCCCACCCCCACCCCTCTCATTCGCCCCTGGGCCGGAGAGGTGAGGATTCTATAGGGAGCATTATGGAGATTGTTAGGGATGACCGCACCGGGAGGTTTCATCGTGAAATTAGGAGACAGTATATTTGAAGGGGGGAAATGTGAGGGCAAAAAGAATTGTCTCACCACATTTGAAGTTCGTAAACATTTTCAATAATAAATTTAATTTGGATTTGTCTCAGCGATAAGCATTGTGTTATGTCGATCTCTCTTGTTCGAAACCCATTTTAGACACATAACATCATTCGAGCATTTCAATCTCCTATAACTGAGTGAAATCAAAGCCAAACCCCACCTCGCTTTGAGTTTGGTTTCTCTTAAAAAACAAAAATGGAGTAATACTACAACAACACACACATTTACCACACAGCATGGACATGCTATGGACATGTTAAGGATGAAGAATTATTGGGAGCTGATGTGAGATTATAATAATGCAAAAGAATTGGTGTCTTATTTATTGGCTTCAATGAATTCCCTGTATTCTCTCTTCATCTTTACTCCGGATAGGGTCCTGCACGCAGGGGCAAGTTTAAGATGAGTTTGACAGTATAAAAAAACAGGTGGTGAAAAGCTTTCAGCAGAAATAAATGAGTCGTGCATTGAAAGAAGCGCCCTCAAGCATCCATCCGTCCCAATTTCTAATGGGAAGTAATCTGGGACGGATGGAAGTACTATTTAACCCGAGTTACACTTCTTCGAAAGGAAATCAAACATTAAGAGGTCACAAATTTTGAGTCATTCAAAATAAGAGCTTGTTCTCTTCAACTTATTCTTACTTGAATCGGCCCAAATCAGACGAAACAGATCAAAAACAGCTTTAAATATAATTACAATAAGATCGCACCAGATCAAAACTCATTACAACTAGACTAGAACCAATCAAATCAAGTGAAGAGAACAATCCCTAAGAGCCCAGTTTATTAGGGTATAAACTAAAGAGTTGGGTGATAAAAAAGACCTAGGAAAAGATGAGTTTGGAAATTTTAAAAAAAGAAAAGAAATGGAAGCCTACTTGAGCATCTCCTTATTTTTGAAGAAGTGTACACATGGTGTCCCCATAATTTCGGCTGCCTCGGCAATCTCTGGGTCTTCGGTGATATCAATCTCAACAAAATGGACATCATGCTCAAATTCGTCAACAACCTAGAAAAAACCGGGAGGTACAAGTGGAGGACGATTAAAGGAGGTTCAGCAGCATTAATGCGTACAACATACATATAGAAGTGATTGAGTCACAAAACCTTGGTGATTATAGGTTTCAATGTTCGACAGGGACCACAGGTTGGTGAGGTGTACAACACACATAAGAGTCTTGGGCTCTCATGATACAGCTTCCGTAAGGCATACTGGGAGGAGCAGAGAGAGGAATCGTTGTTCAAACAAGCATTTCAACAAAAAATATTTTAGGCCTTGTTCGGTAATATTAATCAGCTTATTCTGATTTTGACTAACATATTTCAGTTATTTGGCTGAAATAGTTTTTACCACAGCTTTTCTTTTATAAAATTCAGCGGATTTAGCTAAATCTACTTCAGCCAAGTACTCAAATGACCTTTACCGACCGAAGGGGCTCTTAATTTATTTAGCAGAGTGAGGGGGTATCAATTTATGAGTTGGCATATATCATCCTCACACCTGTCCCTTGTGTTTCGGAAGTGTGATATCAAAACCTTCCTGGACATCTCGGTCTGTGAGATCCTTTTTAACCTCTTCGGTTGGTTTCTGAATAAAATCAACACAATGTAGTTAATGGAAGTGCAACTTTATAAAACTAAGACAAAGGGTTGGCCCCTCTTGCTAGATAAAAACAGGCTGAGATCTCATATACCTGGTGGAATTCAACAAGAAGATTGTTGCTTGTAAGGTATCTCTCAACTGATAGGGCAGCAACACATCCTGATCCAGCTGCAGTAATGGCCTGCCTCCATTCATGGTCCTACTTATAGACGAGCAAAGAGTAGCATAATTAATTATAGGTACATGACTATTGCCAATAATGGTCTCAACACTTGCTTTTTCACATTTGCCACATGGATTACATATAAACATATAAAAATGTTTTTGTGAAAGTTATCCCACATGATTTTATGATTACGTCCAAAATAATTGTTTTACTGAAAGTTACAAAAATGATTTAATGAAATTGACTCTTGCGATTATTTTGGAGTGAGTGAGCCCTCCAAACTCTGATATCCTCCATCCAAACAGACCATTTCAGAAGATATGTTAGAAAATAGACACTTGTTAGAATTTATCATCCAAACAAACCATTTAAGAAGATATGTGACTTTTAACATGCTAGTTTAAGCTAATAAACTCTATAACCGAGTTGCTTATGTCGCAGGTATAAATCTTGCATTATCATATTCTGCTCAAAGAAAAACACAAAGAGATATATAATATTCATGTTTACCTGCACGTCTCCAGCTGCAAAGACACCTTCAACAGAGGTTTTTGTTGTGCCCTTCTCGGCCAATATATAACCGGAGCTATCAAGTTTAATTTGCCCTTCTAACAGCTGACTATTTGGAGAATGACCTATCCCATAAAACAACCCCTTTGCCTCCAGCACAGATTCCTTTTGAGTGTCTACTCTCCTTACCAGAATACCTGACATCTGGCCTTTTGGGTTGCTAACCACATCCACAGTCTCTGTGTTGAAATGCACAGTGATGTTTGGATTGTTGAAAACTCTGAAACATTCGCCATAATCATCCTGTTAAACAAACATTTACGAAGTTCAAACTTGAAATATATTGCTCTTTAGTAACTTGATTCATTAAAAGAGAAAGACAACATCACAATTCACAA